AAAACTAATGTTGTTTTTTCATTCCCTGATTTGATATAATATAGCCTTTGCCTTGCATTTTTTAAGTACATTGCCAGGCTGACCAAATAATTTGAATATTAGTTTTAATTCCTGTCTAGATTGTTGAACAAAACCATACTGAAGCATTTTAATTTTGTTAATAGTGTGGATTAAATGATCCCATTGATTTAAGAAATACAAATTAAATCTGATCCAAAAGAAACGTGATAAAGTATGCTATGAATTGAGAATTCTCAGCAATGTTAAAAATCTTTATACTAAGCAATTTGACATTTTCTCAGTCCAGCCCATAGGATAGACTAAGAAGCAAAAATACTTGTAAAAAAATCAAAATATCAAACGTGTTTGTTAAGTTTTAAATCAAAACCCTCTGATTCTCTGGATTTCTATTGATGGTAATAATTTTGATACATTTTCATTGATAAGTGCTACTTAATAACGCGTCACTAACTTTCTCAATGGATTTTTCTGACAGATGCCTTTTTCTGCAAAATTTAACCTACTTTCATAAAACTGAAAACAATGTTCAGAAGTCAAAAAAGTTCTTTTGGTTTCCATCACAGTTCAGCTATCGTGATATTTCAATACATGACAATTATTTTAGTAAACTATTTTTTTAATATAAGGCCATGATATAAAAAGATTATATAACATTTTTTAACATTTTTAGATTATATTTTGGTGTGGAGAATAGCTCTCAGAGTAATGAAGAATTTCATTGCAAGCATTGAAGGGGCATGGTACTTTGAATGTGTGTGGAAGCTATTCTGAGCCTTCATACAATGCATGTCACAATGTCAAAAGATAATACTTAGCATTCCACATTATTATCAGGAAAGCTGTAGATAGTTTATTGCATGCTGATAGTATTGATTGCAGCTGGAGGCATTGATAGCATAAATAGAGTATCTTTAATTAGTCAGAATGCATGATTAGCTTTTCTGCTTTAAGGAGATAAACTAGCTTCTTAAAGATGGTCCCCAAAAAAATATTCTTGATTCAGTTAGAATAAAAACACAATGGGAACACAGGCCACAGTCTGCATTTCTCAGAACATTGACAGCTGTCTCCATGCTGGGTCCTACTTTTAGGCAAGGTCTACAAATTTTTCAGGATTTTGTTGTTGTTTTTAATTCACTCATACACTCTCTCACACACGTACATGTTTTAGTTGCATTTAGGATGCAGTTTTTGTTGTGGAAAAGTCTGTCTTGACTGCTAGACTACAGCATCTGTCAGAATTACAACTGTAAACCCACTTTTCAGGAAGTTTATCAATCAACTGCCAGTATTTGTGTATGTCTCTACTGCAATTTGGCTAAGAAGATTTCAGCCCACGAGATGGGCTTGTTTTTTTCAAGATTTTAGGAAAAGTTGATTTAGACATCGCTAACTAACTTGTGGAAGTAAGGAACCGGTTTTTAATATATATTGTGTAAAATGTTTCAACCTTAAAAGTTAATATTAAGTCAACAACAAATCCCTAATATTGTAGGGTTTTGATTACTTGTCTGGGTAGGAGGGGTTTGAAGAGCAAAAGTATTCATTTTTCTTGGATGTTGAGAGAAAACAATATGAACTGAATCTAGACTGTGTTAATAGGAAATACCAAACTTGCCAACACACCTGTTGCCTGTATCATAAATAAACACTTCTTTGCCTCCCTTTAGAACAGTCAAAATGCCCAGATCTTACACTTGCATCTGCTAGAGAAGATGATAATTCATCTACCGAACCAGGTGCATCAAAATAAATATAAAGATGAAACTGAACAACTCCTTTACATGAGAATTGACGCCAGTACATGAAGCACAAAATCAAAGACATAATCATCTGGCTGCTCACAAATCATCCCATCTCTGATTTCTCACACTTGATCTTTCAGGAAGACCTTCCAGAGATGAGACTTCAAACTAAAATTCATAAATTTCCTGAGTAATAAAAATTGATTTAACAGAAATACTGGTTTAATGACACATGATTACCTCGCTCCCTTGATGTTCTAAATTGTCTCTTTCTTTACCATTGGAGGTAATTGTCTTACTATCTTTCCTTCTTACCAACATCCTCTCTGCTTTCCAGATACCAACTATTTTCTTTAGAAATTCTCTGATACATATTTCATATGAAAAACATGTATCTTTAAACTCTTCTGGTTTGTGCCAGACCTGTATAACTGGATGTATACTCTAAAGCTTCTTTACTTTTCTAACTGCATTTGTTGGTCTGAGGTAATTCTCTTTAGAAGCAAAGCAGTGTCTTTGTCCTTGCACCACTTTTGCTTCAGCAGTCTTCCTAGCAGAAATAGTCTAGTTTTTCTCTGGACCTCAAACATCACTGTCTCTTAAAAAAGCTGTTGTGAATTTGGAAGAAAGGGTAGCTTGGCAAGCAGACATGTAGATTAGCACTAATAGTTCCTCCTTACCTTCTCTAAAGTTGTTGCAGTTTATTCCTGTTATTCCTAAAAACTTTTGAAGCTTTGGTGTAAACAAAGAGCCTTTGGCTGTATTCAGGGAATGCAAATATGGTGAGTAACGACCGAGAGCACTAATAATGAGATGTCTAGGCAAGCATATTGCTGTGTGGATTAGTTGTACCAGTTCTCACTGGCAGTAGCTGAACAGCTGAACAGAAGAGGAGAAGGATTGGTTGTGAAGTTGGCCATATATGTGAAAATAATATAATGGTATAAAAAAGTATGTTTTTTACATATTGAAATGATGGAAAATTCAATATCTCTTCCTTTAAATCTGCTATACTACTTGCTGGATTTCTACGCCAGCAGTTCTGTTTCCTGAGGCAGAAAATTAGTTTTTTCCATTTTGACTGCAAACGGATAGGTGGTTGTCCCCTGATTCACCCTGGATTATGTGTACATGCCAACAGGAGATGATGTGGAATCAATAACAAGTCCAGAAGTAGCAGAAAAACCTAACACAAAAAAGTGCCATTGGCATATTTTAGCAATTATAACACATCACTGAGCCTTGCCAAATTTCTCTGTCAGTAGCAAATCTTACATGAGATCATCAAGGCTTTTCAGAAGGTAGAAGTGTATTACCTGTTTACTTGGTCTTGGACAATTGAGATGAGACAATTACATTCTGGCAATGTAATGAAATCTTTCAAGCTTTGGAAAATTTCATGCCTTCTAAGAGGAAGCCATGGATGTTGAAGTTACCTCTACAGCTCTGGCTAATCTCACTGGCCTCCAGCACAAGTTTGCATGCATAATGGTTTTGTGACAGCTGTTGGAACCACCATGGCCAGACATAAGTTGAATCTTCCCCAAACCAAGTTTAATTTACTCTGTAGAGCTGCACTGTTCCCACCAGCATGAAGCAAACATAAGGAAATTTGAAGACCCCTTTTCCCTTCCATTCCCCTTGCCTTGCAGTGAAATAGGTTGATCAAAAAGAATGGATCTGGTTCTATCAAAGTGACCCCTTTTCCCTTCCGTTCCCCTTGCCTTGCAGTGAAATAGGTTGATCAAAAAGAATGGATCTGGTTCTATCAAAGTGAGACGATTTACTGAGGTGCCTTGAATTCTGTGTTCAAGTGTTAACTTGCAATAATTTAGTTAATGGTTATATGGAAGCTTTAATGTATTACAGCTCTTTACTGTTGAAGAGGAGAGATGGGAACTTAAGGAAGCATCAGCTATGCACAATGTACAGAGATTAGTTTCATATTTGAAAGTAATTACAAAATGTGGTTACCTGCACAAGGAATGTCTGAAGTTGGTGACTTAGCTGTGTCCTTCCAGGACTATCTTACTCTGGTTGATAGTATAATATGAGCGACCTTCCATTCTTGTGTTTCCTACACACTTTTTCAATGAAGTCTGCAGTTCAGTTTGCTGTAAAAAGCAATAACAGTAACAATTAAAAGGACTGTTCTGTTTTCTTTTCTTTGAGCTGTAACAGTCAAAGACAGTGTATCATAAAGTGGCACATGTGAAATGAACATTGAACTTTGCATGAATGTATGATAATGTGAAAATCATTTTTAAAAGCTATGATGACAAAGTAGTGTTCAGGAGAAGTACAAATTGCCTATTAAATTGAACAGGTGAAGAAGGCCCATACTGCCTCCTCTATGATAAAGATCCCATCAAAACTTTATTTTTACTGAAGCGAAGTAGATATGTGACAGCTGTGAGGAGAAGGGTCTTCTATATGGTCTTGCTGGTAGCTAAAATCATGTTCCGCTCAATAACAAATTTTTTATTTATAGCATATAGCATTTTATAGCAACAGAAAATTGTTACAAGCAATTGTTTATAATGTATTTACCTAAAAAGCTTTTTTTCAATATCATTAATTCTCTCAACAGCAAGATCCTGACTCAATCCAATGTTTCCTTCTTAAAAGCACTAGAAAACTGTTAGTATTTTACTCTTAGCTCTGATCACTAATTCCACCCCTTTATTGAAAAAATTTAAAGGTAAATTAAACTGGAAAGATTAAGTTATTGAATACAAATTAGCTGTCCCAACAGTTCATGAGGATCAAGTTGGTATCACACTGTTGGTGGCATCATCTCATGTCTGAACTCAGCTCTAACTCACCAACCATCCAGACTGTGAAAGGTATAGCACGTGCTATGTCCCCCCATTACGGGGGGGCTCCAAGCAGTGCCAAGTCAGTGGCAACCAAACACATCTCTTGTGATCGTCTTTAAGCCTTTTTTTCTTAGAGAGAGTAAGGATTTTTAATCAAATTGACTGCACAGTCTCTCATCAAACACACTTGTCCATCTGAAGTCTTTATTCCTCAGAAAAAGACTCGCGTGACTCCCGTAGGCTTTCAAAGTATAGTTGTGTGGGTTATGGATCACACCTCATGTACACCTTTTGGTGAGAGAGCAATGCCAGCTGAAATCTGCAAAGCAAACTGGACTTAAAACTCAAAAGAATTAGAACAAATAGAAACACAAACTGTGCTTTTATGAATGATATTTTGATTTGTATTTTTCAGGGACTGGTTGAACCTGTTTAGTCCCCCCATCATTCCTGGAAGCCAACAACTGGAAGAGCACGCTAAATCTTCAACAAATCAGAGTATTCCAGGTAGGAATTCATGAAGACAACAAAATGTCTTTCTACCCAGGGCCCTTTCAAAATGCTTTTTCTGTACTGCTGGTGCTGCCTTTTCATAATTTTCTATAGTGCTACTTTTTGGTTCCAAGTTCTCTTATTTATTATTCCCAGCTCAAGCTAGCAGAGTTTTCATGCACTATTATTTGCCTCTGATAAAAGAGTAACTTAGGCAGTTGTGGTTTCCTAATGTTCTGGCTTGATACAGATTAACTTCTTAAAAATACATCTTACTTGTTTAAAGTAGGGGATTTATGCTAGTGGGGATGGCAAACCTATGCAAGAAAGAACACAAAGACTAAACATTTTTATTCAGAAGCACAATTACACTTACGTAAGTGATACTTCTCTTATGAAGAAGAATTTCAGATTTAGCCCTAAATGAAATCTCAGCCTGATATCCTGAGTAAAGACTGTTGACACCACCTCAAGCGTTACAGGTTTTTGTTTATTAATGGTGTTTGCTTAGAGGATGGCAAACAAATTAGCTGAAACTGGAAAGTCAACACCAATAAAATAAAATTAATACCTTGTTTTCTTCAAATGCCTTTTTTTCTTATCAGTTGTCTTGGGAAACAGGGTAGTTAACTATATTTTTCTTCAGGTCTGGGGAATTCAACATGAAATCTCATAAATCTGACCTGTGTATTTTGGCTGCCCGAGGGATGAAGATGTCTCAGTGATTTACTCTCTAAAATAGATTATGCCCCTCAAATTGGGAATGCTTTCACAGATGTATATTTGTGATTGTTTATGACAGCAAAATAGAATTTTTCTGTCAGGAAAGGGCCTTGCTTTGAAGTATCAAATAATATGTTTTGTTAAGGGTCCTAAGTAAGCCAAAGAGAACTGGACAGTAATCCTTGAGTAAAAGGCACGTTTTGTGATAGGTCTCTGAGAATTTTTTTATGTTAGTATTATGAATCCAAGACTTGCTGCAGTAAAGCTAGAATTTCTGTAAATTTTAAGAATTGGATAATTATCCTTCAAAAGCTTTAAAAAGGAAGTATACTTGGGAATATGTTGGATTTCTTCTGTTATTCGCACTACAGTTTCCAAACTGTTTTGTGAATTGTTCCTAAACTCCTTTCCCTTTATGCTGAAATATTTTATATCATGTGTCCGTGATTGCACATTTGGAGAACAGAAAATCTCTATATACCATAGCTTTTTATTTTGGCTTTTTAGTTTTGTACCTTTATTAAGTCAAATTAAATTCTGACCCATGTGTATGTATGGTATTGTAATTTTGATAACTTCATGCAGAAAATGCTCTGTCTTCAAATACTCCAGAAAACCTGCCATAGTGTTTACATGATCAAGCTTCATTTCCCCAAGAAGTTGGAGGATACGAGAGAAAAGCAAAGTTGTTCCATGACATTCCCTCCCTAAATAGGACAGTTTGGATTTTTTCTGAACTACTGGACACCCTTCCCTATTAAAGTACAGAGAAGCAGCAGAGTAATCGTAGCAGTTGTGGGTAGGGGAGGTCTGAGTGGCAAAGTAAGGGGGTACCTGTACAATATACAGCATCTTCAAGCAACTCCAAACCTTCCATTCTGATTGTTTACAGTCCTTGGAAAATAAAGTCCTTGCGCTATATTGAGAGAAAACCAACAGAGTTTGCCCACATAAAAGGCATGCCGAAGTTAAACACAGATCTTTGGACATAATATGGCGGTGTGTGAAAATGCAGTGCCATGTAATACATGCCTATCAGATTAGATTGTACCTATCAAACATTAGAATCTGTGTGTTTTCTAGATATCTTGGTTTTAAGAAATCTTGATGGGCCATGGTAACTAGATGGCTTGGAGTATCGTTTTTGAAAGAGATGTTGAATAGGTCTTGTCCTGTGATACATCTCTAGCACTTCAAAAAAACTTCTTTTTTTACCCAGGTTTACACGTGTTGAGCAAAAGCCTTTCTCCATAAAAACAATAGCTGCCATGATTTCAGTGCAGCAGCATTTCATTTAATATGACAGGTATTCAGAGGTACCAATGATCTTCAGTCTTCTTTCAGCTCAGAACTAAAAAATACTAATCTCTCTATAATGTATATCACAGACTTAAATTTTCGTTTAAAATCAAGTTATTTTCTAGCCTAAAATACTTTTTAATTTTACAGTGATTTAAGAACAAAAGCTTTGATTTTGCTTTCACCATGATATTCAAACTGCCAAGAGGTTTTTTCATGCAATCCTGAGCAACTCCGACCCCAAAAGTCTGAATGGTGACAGCATAAACCACTATGGAAATTTTCATTGAAACAGACTTGTTTCTCAGTTAATTTGGCCATGGACACTTCATTCCGATATATGGTCAGGTTGCACACAGTATACCATTTCAAAGTAGAAAGACGCCTTCTAATGAAACTGTTACATATTAGTTGAGTCTTGTAGAAGAATATCTCTTAATTTAATTAGTACTTTTTTTAGGAAGTAGAAGAACAGAAGTGAGGTTTTCATAGGTTTTTTTAATCTGTTCAAACCTGAATACTCCGTGCTGCCATTGGAAATCTTTTGCAACATCTAGAAATGCCTTAAAATGCATTTGAGGATATTGTGCTGAAAGAAAGAAACCTATCTTTAAAAACAAGATGCATCTAGAAAACTAAGTTCTCTTCTTGTTCAAATGAAAATATATGCAGGGAATTATTGCTATAAAGGTATAAATCCAGCTAGTCCTGGATGCAATCTAATTCTAATTTGGTGTGAATTGAAGGCATACAGGGAAAGAGGTACACCCCGATGAGTCTGAAGAATGTCTTATTCCTAAATCAAACCAGGGACTACACTGAGAGGCCAGTTCTGAGGCAGAGAGGGAAGGGGATTTAACCTTAGAGAAGAAAAGAAAATAATTTTTGAGAAGCATAGGTAGGAAAAAGCAAAATAATAAAAGGAAGAATTCAGTGGAAATGATATGGTTTCAGGTGAAAATACAAGGCTATGTGAGGGAATAAGGCATGGATACCATTTGCTTTTTTACTGTGATCTGAAGTGTAGAAAAAGACATTCAGTTCTACGCCGTCTTTCTGCACTGCATAGTTTTTCCCAAGAGCTGTCCAAACAAAATATCTCAATTAACCTCATTTAGCTTACCAGGCCTGATGAAGTACCTTCACTTACGGTAAGAGACAGTTTCTTTCTGATGGCATTTGCTAATGCTGCTGAGGAAACAAAATGAAACCTCTTCCCAAACGATAAAGTGCACGCTCCTTCTGTATGCATTAAATGCGCCAACCTACTTTCTGGTCTCTAGATAATGTAACCTATATATCGTTGTGTGATCCTGGCTGTAAATAGTTTCTGAGCATTGTGAAACTGCTGCTGTTAGCATAACAGGCCATTACTTATAATGAAGTGTTAGAGCAGACAAAGCATTCAGTTTGTATTAGCAGTCTGAGAACGAGATGAACATTTATGATGAAATTCAAGATATAGATTGCGTTCAACTGTGAATTATTTCCTATCAAAAAGCTGTAGATCATATAACTTAGATTTAGCTTATATGAAAGACAGACAGGTTTAGAAAAGGAGCTACAATATATAAAGCATCTGTAATAAAAGTCTATATGGCTTTATCAGGGTATTTCAGCCTAAGGATTCATTTCTGTTACCTGAAAACATTCTTAGATTTTACATAACTTACATAACTACATATCTAGGTCTAGACAACCCAGATTTAAAATTTTTATTGTCTGAAAGAATCTTATTTCCTCTTTGGTATTGAAAGCTCTTTTGTACAGATTTACCTATACTGGACATTTAGGTCACATATTGGATAGAAGACATTCAAATTCTTTAATTCTTACAGGTCTTAAGTACACACTGACTGTGTTTCTTAATGTTTCTTAAACATTATTGTTTAAGAAAAATAGCACTTAGGAATACTTTGAACCACTAGCAGTAAAGGTGCTTCTGGTGAACCGCGCTATTGGACTTTGTAAAGGCCAGTTGTTTAAGCAAATTCTGACTGACATCATTTCACCTCAACTAAATACAAGTTTTCAGAAATACAATAAAAATGTGTAAATTGCTGTCATTTTGAAGATAACCGTTCAGAAGTCAAAAGATTAAACACTTTAAAGAAAAATTCTGTCACATCTGACAAAGGTATTTCCATGTTATTGTCTAAGTGAGCAAGAGTGATTTATTCTTACTTTTCACACTTAACACAGGTGAAGATGACCTCAATGCTGAAGATGATGAGGAAGTTTTGACTCTTTTGTATGATCCATGTCTGAACTGTTACTTTGATCCAAATTCTGGGAAGTACTATGAATTGGCATAGTCAGATCATGAGAGGATATCATTTTGTATTCAGAATAGGTTTACCTTTTAACTGTTTGTATAGTGTTACTGAGCTGTATAATTTATCATGTAACTTAAAACTTGAATTAACTAATAGTTTTGCAAATTAATATATTTATAAAAATAAGTCACTATTTACAAGTTTTGTATTAAGTTGGAGTGCAGTGGAAAATCACATAACATAAAAGTTCCTTGTGACTAAAACATTTCTTTGTTAGTCTAATTGATTTCCAATATTCAAAGGTTCTATATGGAAACAAATGCAGTTGAATCAAGAGGGTTTGTGGTGTTAATCTGTAAATTATGGTTTTACTCAAAGTTAATTTCTTTCATTATTTGCTTACTGTATGTTTTTAATTGGTTCTGAGCTATCTTATTCTTTGTACTCTAAGATACAGTGTGTTGTTCAAAGGCCTCTATTTCATAAGCTCAC